TCTCATAAACCAACGAACGGATGTATATCCTAATATCTTTAATCCTACTTCCCGAATCCTATCCTGATATCTATGTGCTTGGACAACCTTCGGAGAATTTACAGAAAACCCTCTACTGATTTCGGAACACCGTAACATTACAATGAAAGAAAATCACTCACCTTTCTGGAACTTCTCCGGGCCAGCTCCTCAGCCTCCAACCAGTGCGCGGATGAGTCAGTGTTCGCAGCTACCGTCTTTCTCTGCTGCCACCCATGTTTCTCCCTTTTCCCGATCGTCGCGATTTACCCTCGTGTTCTCCCTCTTTTTCCGTCCCTTCATTTCGTACTGATAACTTCCTACCCTTCCCCGAAATTTCCCTCAAGACTCTTTATGAAAATAACAGATTGATATATTTGTAAAGCGAGGCAAAGCGAGCAAGCGTTAACAATAAAACAGTTAAGAAATGGTACGTTTCTCCGCCAACGACGATAAGCCAATAGTGAACATTTTCCTTTACAACTGATGTCATATTCTGGTTTGGTAATTGTTACCTAACATTTAATCATTCGAAGATTTCCTAACCAGCAAAGCTAAACAGATCTTATCTTATTACACGTTCCGAAAAATAAGCCAGGTCCAATCATTGGAAACAAAATATTACCTACGCTGTATGTGCCAGTTTTCTCGCCAACCCACTAAGGTCCGGATTCCTACGTAAAGTCCTGCCCTTTCCGTAGCTTCTTCCATAGATTAAATCATTTCCCAAGTTACAACGCATTTTCCGAATAATAACCCATCAGGTAAAATCCACACACAATATTCCTAAATAAGCTTCGGTAACCTGCGTCCAGCCTGTACGGTATTGAAATTTAACTGTATTCGTTACGTTGTTAATTCATAATATAAATTTCTTAAACCCAGTTTAATTTACCCCACCCAGCCGCCAGGATAATTTCAGGGAACTTACATGGTGGGATCGGGCGTGTGTCTCTCGGCCGGAGTCCCCCAGGGATCTGTCCGTCTGCCTCTGGCGGCGAGCACTCCTCTGCCGCTCTGATGCGTCATTACCAACTCTTCTCTGATTGGTCCATTTGCTAGGGTACCATCTGGGATGCAATTTATGTCTTGAAATTTTACTGGTTTCTTGTAGTTCTCTTGTATATTAGCTACGATTTGACGTCCAGTATTTGATGTAACCTTTTACTTGAGTGTTTTCAACGTCCCCTTCCATTTGCTGATGAATTTTGCGACTTCGGTCCTGTGCTGTCCCCTGGTGACCATTTGGGGCTCTTCGGGGAGGGGTTGGTGACGTACCCTCGCGGCTCCGCCCCTGGGTCGTTGGAGACAGTCACTCGGCTCGGATGAGGCTGCTGACTCTGCGTCGACGGCGGCCGGTGCTCGGTCCCGACGGTGCTGGCTCAGCTGTGGTTGAGTCGCAGTGAGGGCAGGCAGGTGCCGACGGGCTGTAGCCACTACGCCCCAGTGGGCTGAGGGCTCAGTCGGGGCTTGTGATGTGCCCCTGTCGCTCCAACATGCGGGGTCGTTGAAGACATTCACCTGTTCTGGATCAGAATGCTGACGCTGCGGCGGCGGCGGCCGACCGGCTCTCTGTCCCGACGGCGCTGACACTGGTGGGGATGAGGTGCTGGGATGGAAGGCTTGTGACCAGAGCGCCACGGTATGATGAATGCTGCTGCTGAGTATGGGGAGGGGAGTATGGCGGGCGGCTGGGTCCCGATCTGAAAAATGTTAAGACGCCCCAAGATGTAGCCTTGCTACAGATTTTTGAAATCTTTGGATTTTGACCCCCAAAAATAAAAAAATAGATTTTTTGACTAAAATAGCCGAAAAATCCAAAGTTTTTTGAATTTCGCAAAAACCGGAACATATATGATAGTCCTTACCGCCTTCTATCCACATACCAAATTTGAGATTGATACCTCTGTTTTTGGCGAAGTTATAGCGAAAAAACGGTTCAAAATTAATGACGTCAAATTTTCAAACTCAATTTTTAGCAATTCTAGACCCTGTAGCGCAAAACAAAGACCACCATTAGACTCCCCGTGACGAGCTGCATCGAATTAATACCCATTTTATGCAAAACTATCAACTTTAAAATTTGACCTTTTTTGACCTGACCTTGACCTGACCTTCACCAGAAAGTGGCCTAAGCCGTACCTGATAGTCTTATAACCAACACCATTCAGTTGGAAATGAAAAATTGGCCATAAAACATGCATCGCACAACCTTAGTACCTTAAGTTAGGTTCATGTGACCTGACCTGTGACCCTTGGTGACCTGACCTGTGACCTGACCTGGTAATGTCAGTGACCTCTTATAGCAACATATGTACTAGGCAACTGACGCCCTATCGCTGATTCTCGACAAAATACGTTTTCTTCGGTGTTATAGCGGATTCCCTAGATGACCCGAGAAAGGTGAAACATTTCTGTATTCTGTATTCTGTATTCTGTATTTATTAGATCGCCAACAGGCCCATCGCCCTTTTACTGACGAAGTCAGTTACACACAAGCAATACACAAGATGACAGTACCTACATAAGAATAAACGTTCGATAAAACAAGATCGATAAAAGTAAAGCACGTGAGTATGATGTAAAAGATCACATGAAAGTGCCTTGCGTAATTGTGAAGCCGATAGCGCGTGTTTTAAATGAGTATGAACTACCAGTAAAGAAGTCGGTGGTCGGGTCATGGAGCAAGAATGAGTTGCATGCAGCTGGGATCCTGACAAACAAACATCGTTGCACAGTGTTCACTCGCGCGCGCGGTGTGTTCCACAGAACCGTGCTCCTCGTCCTCCGTGCCGGTACGGCAAGACCGAACGCACCGACTAACACATCATTGTCCAGCTTCCCACGATGAATGTGGAATAAAAACATGATATCGTACTGTATGAATCTAGACTTGATGGAGCGCACTTTAAAATGTGAGAGTAAAACCAAGTAGTCCAGGTCGTCAGAGCGCCTGTCAGAGTAACGAGCTAACCACATCAGAAACTTGTGCTGCACTCGCTCGAGCCTTGTCAGGTGAGATGCAGCCGCTCCAGCCCATATGACACAGCCATACTCGATGATTGAACGCACATGAGCGTAGTACGTACACAACATGGTTTTGTGATCAAAGGCGGCTCTGCTGTAGCGTCGAGACAGTTGCATACTACGGATAATCAGTCCTAACATCCGGTTTGCCTTGGCAACAGTCTGGTCAACGTGGGCGGCAAACGTAAGCTTGGAGTCGAGGATTACTCCTAGGTCTCGGACTTCGGATCGGCGCTGTAGGGTAGTGCCATCTAGAGTGTATGTGGCTAGGATGGGAGATTTTCGTAGGGAGAAGGAGATGACATGACATTTGGTAGGATTTAATTTTAGACGCCATGCAGCAGACCAGGTGGAGAGACGGTTGAGGTCGGCCTGGAGCAGTTCTGTGTCAGAGTGGGAGGTGATGCGGTGGTAGAGTTTGATGTCGTCTGCGTACATGATACAGTTGGTTTGGATAAGGGTGGGCAGGTCGGCGGTAAGACAGATGAACAAGAGGGGACCACAGACACTCCCTTCCGGCACGCCGGATCTGACAGGAGCCCAGTCAGAGCACACGCCGTCTAGCACCACTCTCTGACGACGGTTGGTTAGGTAGGACCTGATCCAGGATAGAGCGCGCCCAGTGACGTTGAAGGATGTTTGGAGCTTGTGGAGGAGTAGGATGTGGTTGACACTGGTGAAGGCAGAGGAATAATCAGTATAAATGGAGTCAGTTTGAGCACCAGCCTGGATGGAGTCCCAGCTGTGTTTGAGGAACACGCTGAGGTTGGATGAACAGGATCGGTTGGGAAGGAAGCCATGCTGACTGGAAGGTAAGGACGGGAGAACGTGGGCCAGCAGGGTGTCACAGACGACTCTCTCCAGGACCTTGGAGCAGAGGGGGAGAAGGGAGATACCGCGATAGTTATTAGGATTCTTTTTGTCGCCTTTTTGTGGATGGGGATAACGTTGGCGTCTTTCCAGACCTTGGGGAAGACAGCCTGAGAAACGGAGAGCCTGCAAAGAATTTCAAGGGGGACGGCCAACTCTGTGGCGCACTCGTGGATAATACGAGCGCTGAGCCCGTCTGGACCACAGGCCTTGTGCTTACCAATGCTGAGAAGCAGCGAGTGAACTTTGCCAGGTGGAATAATGAATTGGTCTAGGATAGGAGAAGGAAAGACAGGAGCATCAGGTAGGCCGTCTACTTGGGGTTCACTAAACTTGGATCCAAAAGTGTCGTTAAAAATGTTGGCGCAGTCAGATGCTTTGGAGTAGGATTGACCGTTGTGAATCAGGGTAGCTGGGCGATGGGAGGATGACTTGAGAGTTTTGATGAAGGACCAGAAGCGTTTAGGATTATCACGGAAATCACGGACGAGGCTCAGTAGATAGTCGCGATATTTGGAGTCTGCGACACGTTTAAAATCAGATCTGGCTCTGGAGAAGGCAAGGTCATGCTCAGGAGAGGGTTGGGATTTTTTCAGGCGATGGGCATGGTCCTTCTCTCTCAAAGCACAACACACGTCCCTGTCAAACCACGGCGGGAGGCGGCGAGATCGCGTCACGGTTGGCACATAGTCAGCAATAGCAGCGTTCAACAAGTCATAGAAGAGTTCAGCGGCAGAGTCTACGTCTAAATCATTCAAAATAGACCACGGAAGACATCTAAGAGCGGCACGTAACTGGTTAAAATCAGCGGCTCGATAGTTAAATCCAGAGGTTCTGGTGACCCGAGGAACGGCTGACAGTTGCACGATAAATCGAGAGCATGTCTGTAATTTGAAAGTGGTCCCTTTGTATAGCCTACATTGCATCCTGATTATTTATCTGTTGTCTAGGGGATTATATTCTTCAATCTTTTACTCTATATGCTGTCTAGGGGTATTACTGATGAAAACGCGATCGATATATGTGTGTTTCTGGTTCCTTTCCCTCCTTCGTTCCCAACACCATCCACCATACAGACGTGAACATGAGTTAAAAGTAGATATATTGAAATGAGCCAAAAGATGAGGTCGAAACCAAAATGTCAAAAGGAAGCGATCGAGTCATTAAACGAGACAAGGCCGAAAATCAGTCCTGCACGAATAGCCGTTGCATTAGCACAGGCTGATATCGAAGAAGACGGAAGAGTGTCGAAAGAACAGCCTGCTGCCGCCAAGCCGAGCCAATCGGCTCCCTGGTCAGCGTCATGATGGCGGGCAGGCTGAAACACAAACAGCGCAGTGAGACCGGACAACGGCGGTCAACGGTCACCAAAAAAAAGGCCGAAAGAGATAACCGAATGGTTAGCCGAAAGACAAAACAAACAGTTCAACCATATACCGAATAGTTCGGCAAGTTAAACGGACTTCCTAGAAGACGTCACGTCACCTTGTCCCCACAGCACAGCTCCAAGAGAGCTGGCTGGGGCAGACCGTCCGGTCTGAGTCATTCTTACGTAGGTACTTACTTGTGCATGTTGAGTGGAGTGTTGCAGAGTGGGTGTTGTCGAACGTGGTGTGGACTGTGTGAGGAGTGTCTCGCTGCTCCGTCTCGCGCCCGTTTTATTCCTCGCTGGTCACACAAAAACAGGTAAAGCCACTGCAGTCGGTAGTTGCCCTGCAGCGTAGGTGCAGCTCAGCTCTTCTCTGCCGATCTGCAGACAGTCGCTAGCCCGGCCTTGCCGATTCCACTTTTTGTCCGGTGGTACCGGTGCTCGGTCTCCGGCGGCCGTCATCGTATGGTGGCCGGTGGGAGGCGGCGCTGGCCCGCCAACAGAACAACAGTCAGCCGTGGCTGTCCAGCTTCCACTGTTCGGATAGAAGCCACTGGTCGGATAGAAAATACTCACCAAAACTATTTCTCACATCCCTTCCATTTTTATAGCGAACGAAGAACTGTAACCTTTGGGGATGAACGGGTACACATACGTAATAGTTAGATGGTTCACAGTCTAAATTGAGTTTGACTCGTTGATAAGTCAAATGCGACAAACCCTCTGTCTTAAACCGTTTTGTATCTTCCTAAAAATATGACTTTAGTACAAAATACAAAGTACTAAGTAGCTTGAATCTTAATTGATCATAACTTCATCAGATCGTATGGCTTCAATAACCCAAGCACTGCAAATTGGTACTGCTGCTTGATGCCAAATACTGGTAAAGCAACCAAAGCATATTTACATTTATGCTATTCTGGGAACCACATCTTCTTGCTACTGACCTGTGACAGTTTCAAGGATAAGGAATATCGGGGTTAACCGAAAAGGATTAGCAGAGGAACACGCCATGTAATATGAAAGGTACTCATGTTAACAATTCCCAATGCGGGCTTGGACTTTAAAATTCCCGAGCGTTAGCGTGATGTGTCCATCCGTCTGCTCTGAATTGCCACGCATGGAGGAAGATAAGTTACAGTCAAAGGGCGAGTGATCGTTTGCCTCTGTCATAACAGAAGGATGCGGCTCAGACTTCTGGCAGCAGTCAGCATCGAGACGTGGGACCTAAGGGCTCGGGTGAGGTGTTAGGGTTGAAGTCAATCTGTCATGCCGAGAGGTTCGTTGTGCCTGTAGACCTTCTGGTATCTCAGATACCTGTGTAGGACTCGCTCTGCTGCTGGCGCCAATGACTTGAGGACATTGAGAGGCACCAGACGACGCAAGCATCGTATCACACGAGCAATTTGTCCTATGACTATGCCGGTTCTATGCCCGCGCATCTTTGGTCTGCACAGATCCATTGATTGTCGCTGGATCTAGATTCAAGGCAATGCACAGGATTGTTGCTCCACCATAACTTGTACCTCAAGCACCAACTGACCCTTGTCACGACCTTCATGCATACTCTGAAGTAGATTGTAGCAAACTCATCTGCTTTACTTTAACAAGTGAGCACATGCCCGTTGGCTTTTGATCTTTCGATCTCAAAGGTTGTCCTTACTTTGTTCGTGACCCGACATCACCGTCGCTGGTCACTCACGAGTCGGTGGCGCTCCATACAGGGTCGGATAAATCCATCAGGACCTCCACTCGGTGTGGTGTCTGTTGCAGACAATACAACGAAAGTTAGCCACAACAGCTGGTAGGTACACCTTTCATGAAACAAGACGTGGGCTCATCGTTCAGACTTAGGATTGTCAATAATTCAAACGAGTGCTGAACGAGTTATCTAGGGTTGCAGATCTTAACTGCATAGGCTTCACGTTACACAGGAAACGGCGTGGTCAGTTTGCACAGTTGATGTTACTCCAGAACCTTGCTTAAAACCGTTAACATGCCGTTAACATACTTGTTATTCGCTAATTCGAGACAATGCAACCAAGCCAGCATTTCATTGATTTTTACTTTACCGTTGCGGTGCTACTCGGTTTAGCTCTACCGGCCAGACCTTCTCGGGACGTCTCGTACCTCGTACCTGCGCTGAAATCGAAACCTTTCGGCTTCAGTCAGCTCACGTTGTGACTGCTGTTGGGCCGAATTATTATTTGTCTTTGCCACGGTATCTCGACCGCAAGACCCACGCATTCATTTTCGATGAATAAGGACATGAAGCGTATAAGTATATCTTCCACCTTTAAGATGAGCCATGGACTGGGCTCCTGAAGAGTTCTGCACTTGCTATGACTTGCGAAGTGCAACTAAGCAAGGATTCGAGTCGTCTTACCTCCTGCCATGGAATGGAGATAAAACGAGACGAAAACCACTTTCCCCCTTAACCACTGTCTTTCCCTCTGCAGTCACCTGAAGTGTACTCACATATCAGCCGTTTGTCGGGTTTGCTGTTTCTGCAACATCTGTGCAACGAAGCACAGCAAACGAGTCACCTTTCTTATCGACGCTGCAGTCAACTTCTGAAACAAGTAAACTGTCGATCGGTTTTGCTGCTTCTGCAACACCTGTGCAAATGAAGCAAAGCAACCGAGTCATCATCCTAAGACACCTTTCCTATCGATGTCATCTTCTGAAACAATAAAGCTTCTGGTCAGGTTTGCTGTACCTGCAGCACCTGTGCAACAAATTCGAGCAATCGAGTCGTCATCACCCAATAAGACACCTTTCCTATCGACGTCACCTTCTGAAACATATAAGCTGTTAGTCGGGTTTGCTGCTGGCCTCTCTCTTGTAGTCGCCGGAGTGTTCGACTCTTTATACTCCGGTAGCAGTGTATTTGCGGTGGGGTTTGCCGCCTTACACGCTCAAATGGTTCCGTTTTTCACATACTAGGAACACCTCCTCAGCATGGATTGTCGCTTGTGCCAGTGACCTGCTGCTCCCGTCACTGCACGCCCAGCCCTTATGCCTAGAGCGTAAGCTGACCGAGAATTCCACCCATACCCGGCCGGTGTATGTTCGGTGGGCATGGACCCCCAGAGGACCACCCTCTGCCATGCTGCTCAACTCTGGTAGATAGGTGGGGCAGGCCCTATCACCAGTTCTCCTCAGCTCCTACGCGTCCGGGCAGCGACTGCCGTCCTGCTCCACGCGAGCAGACGGTCCGGTGACGTCCTCCTCCAAGAGACGTCTGTAGGCTGCACGTCCTACCTAGCACTCGCCCTTCTCTCAGGGACGTAGGCAGACGGCACGACCTACTCAATAAACGGAAACCACATTTCTGGCCCAGCACATCACCCGCCAAATAACAGATGCGTTTATCATTCTGTCAAATACTTCCCAACTGGACGGGAGTATCACCAATGTTGACTGGGATTATCTTCACAAATCACAACCCTCAACTGACTGATGAGATGACTGTCTGTTTGAACCGAAGCAAAGGTATATTGCCATCCAATGTTAACCAATAATGACTAATTAATACGAAATTTACCTATCAACTAGGGCAAAGTGTCTAACACAGAGAGAATTACTTCACCCGAATTCGACTTGCCGGAAACCTGCCACATGCTCTGAAATGTTGAAATTCCTGTGTAAGAACTGAATAGATGTAAACGACGTTGTACTCTCACAAATAAATGACATCTCAAACTGTGAAACATTGAACCGATTTTGTTCCACTGAACCTTGTCAACAACTCAGCCATGAAACAACTCCATGAAACAATAATTAAAACCCAAACAACAAGTAAAACCACAAAAGAATAACTAATCATGTCAGCGAGGCATCAATCCACTCAGTCACAATGACACTTCGGACTGTGTCAGGGCCATGTAAGGTTATGTCAACGGACCTCTGAACTCCGGAAACCTTGATCATGGGATACTTCAGCGATCTTGAAAACACTGATCAAATCGCATATCCGGTTTGGCGATCAGATGATCGAACTCGCGATGTTTTATCTGTGGATGGTTATTGCCCCGAATACGCTAGCTGACCACTGTGCTGCCATGCACCTGGTCACTGACGTCCTATGGCAACTACCCCAAAGTTCAATGACACCAAGTCGGTATCATCAGAACGTGTCATGGCAACGAAGTCAGTGTTAGCTCCCTAAAGCCAAGTCAGTAACATCTGAGCATTAAAGGTCAAGACAAATCTCAATAACACCAAGTCGAAGTTATCAGATCAAACCTACGGACCAGCTCAACAACACCAAGTCGGCATTATATGAGCACCTTATACGGGCAACTTCTTAATAAAGTTCAAGAATACCAAGTCCTGTATCATCCAAACATATTTTCAAGTCTAAGGAATCGAATGGATGTAATCAATGGCGCATATTAGGACATTCATTTATACCTCCTATGAAGTTAGGTAGCCATTTGCTGTCATGCCAACGATGCGAACGAATTAATTTGCGAGGCATACGACCGAATAGCGTATACCCAGAAGGCAAAGTAAGTAGACCCACAGAAGCAAGCAAGACTAACCTGAATCAAATGAACTTCAAGAGATGGCGACCTCGACGGTGCGTCCAATGTAGGTTGTCCATGCAGCATGCGGACCAACAATTGGCCTGACGAACCTAGTAGAGTCTGGAACTCGAGCCATTCACCATCAAATAAAGGCAACTGGAAATACACAAATTGTGACCAGTCAATTCACGAACACGGTGAAACGGAAAGTTTACGAACCACGAGCAGCAAGTTACACCAACGACGAATCATTCTGGAACAACAAAGAACCTGAAAACTTTACAAGCAAGAACATGCAATGAATCAGAAGCATATATAATCAGGGTCCTGTTCGAGCAGAACAGAGTTTGAGATCCCGGACGAGCCCCCAATGTAATTTGAAGTTGGTCCCTTTGTATAGCCTACATTGCATCCTGATTATTTATCTGTTGTCTAGGGGATTATATTCTTCAATCTTTTACTCTATATGCTGTCTAGGGGTATTACTGATGAAAACGCGATCGATATATGTGTGTTTCTGGTTCCTTTCCCTCCTTCGTTCCCAACACCATCCACCATACAGACGTGAACATGAGTTAAAAGTAGATATATTGAAATGAGCCAAAAGATGAGGTCGAAACCAAAATGTCAAAAGGAAGCGATCGAGTCATTAAACGAGACAAGGCCGAAAATCAGTCCTGCACGAATAGCCGTTGCATTAGCACAGGCTGATATCGAAGAAGACGGAAGAGTGTCGAAAGAACAGCCTGCTGCCGCCAAGCCGAGCCAATCGGCTCCCTGGTCAGCGTCATGATGGCGGGCAGGCTGAAACACAAACAGCGCAGTGAGACCGGACAACGGCGGTCAACGGTCACCAAAAAAAAGGCCGAAAGAGATAACCGAATGGTTAGCCGAAAGACAAAACAAACAGTTCAACCATATACCGAATAGTTCGGCAAGTTAAACGGACTTCCTAGAAGACGTCACGTCACCTTGTCCCCACAGCACAGCTCCAAGAGAGCTGGCTGGGGCAGACCGTCCGGTCTGAGTCATTCTTACGTAGGTACTTACTTGTGCATGTTGAGTGGAGTGTTGCAGAGTGGGTGTTGTCGAACGTGGTGTGGACTGTGTGAGGAGTGTCTCGCTGCTCCGTCTCGCGCCCGTTTTATTCCTCGCTGGTCACACAAAAACAGGTAAAGCCACTGCAGTCGGTAGTTGCCCTGCAGCGTAGGTGCAGCTCAGCTCTTCTCTGCCGATCTGCAGACAGTCGCTAGCCCGGCCTTGCCGATTCCACTTTTTGTCCGGTGGTACCGGTGCTCGGTCTCCGGCGGCCGTCATCGTATGGTGGCCGGTGGGAGGCGGCGCTGGCCCGCCAACAGAACAACAGTCAGCCGTGGCTGTCCAGCTTCCACTGTTCGGATAGAAGCCACTGGTCGGATAGAAAATACTCACCAAAACTATTTCTCACATGTCTCTAGGTGATCCGATTCAAACACACCCTCACCCACAGTCGTATCGATGTCCCCACCCCACGAGAGCACCAAATCTAGCACAGCATCGTTCCTTGTGGGAGCGTGCACAGATTGAGTAAGTCCGTTGATGTTCAGATTCTCAACGAATTGTACAGCTCGGGCGGATCTCACTCGTATAACAGGATCCTCTCCGGCTGGCCACTGCAGTTCCGGCAGGTTAAAATCGCCACAGACAATGACAGGTCTTGTAGTGGCGCGCAACTTGGCGAGACACTCGAAGATCGCGGTTAAATCGCCGTCCAGGTCGGGAGGCCGATAACAGACTGCCAAATAAGTGGGACGGTTAGTGCCGATCTGTACCACCAGTACTTCTGCGGTGTCAGGCTCCAGGTCGCGTCGCCGGGTCGGGTGCAGCTGGGTTTTGACTGCACAAGCGACGCCTCCGCCGTGTGTAGGGCGGTCCCGTCGTATCCAGGTGTGTTGGTCCCAGCCCAGCTGCAGTTCGGAGTCGGCGACGTCGGCTGATAACCAAGTCTCCGTCATGCAGAACGCGTCCTGGGCGCTCAGATCGGGCGCCATGGCTCGCAGCGTGTGTAGCTTGTTGCGCACACTGCGCACATTCTGACAGCGGACGGTGAGCGCGCGCCGATGCTGCTCGGGCCCAGGGTTCAGCTCGACGTCGCCAGCTAATATCAAGCGGCACGCTTGATATTAGCGACATTTCATCTTTGACCTGACCTGTGACGTCATCGGTGACCCCGAGGTCAACGAAATTTGGTTTCCTTCGACAAATTTGACAGGCCTTTCGAACGCCGTTTGAATTTTGCGGATCCGTCCAGTAGTTTCGGAGATACGAGGGGGGGGGGCAAAAATAGCCCCCCCCCACCAGGTCACGTTATAAACAGACCCCACCAGGGCGCGGGTTAAGGGGGGGGGGGGTGCGTTTTGGACGGTTCTCCCTTATCCAAAGTAAAAACCCGGGCATTTTGCAAAATGCCTATTGCCTATAGGCAGTTCATGCATTTTGCAAACTGCCTCTCCACTCATGTCACTCATGTCACTCCACATTTGATGACATCCTAAGGGGGCCTCGGGACAATTATGGCGTGTGGTGCGCCGTTGGACCCCCCCCCCTTGCCGTTTTGCCCCTGATAGAGCCGGAGCTTGGCGGAAAAAACGGACGTGCTGCCCGTGACGAGAGGAAGACGATGATACCTAATTTGAAGGTCATACGGCATTGGTTGACCTTCCAGGTCAGGTCAATGACATAAAAGTCGGAAAAATCGGGACCTGTTGGAACGTCGTTAAGTGTGGTTGCAATGAGGTTTTTTGGGGGTGATGATCACAAATATCATGTTAGTTTTGATCACAGATGATGGCTTTATGCATTCAGGCCAGGTCGGGTCAGCTCAGGTCAGGTCAACCAGTAGGGGTCCTGCCATAGGTGTCGTAGTAGTAGTAGTAGTTTCATTTTTTATTGTAGTACTTTCATAGTGTTTCCAAATTTTCAGGGTAGGTGTAAATTTGACTGACGCGAGGGTACTGAACGTTTCGCCGCGATCGGCCGCTTTTAAAGGGACTATCCCGCCTTCTAAAATGTTGTTAAAACCAGTTAAATTGTGCCCGACTTTATAGATTGGATGACCAGGAACACAGTTCTGGCATTTATTTTTCATTAAACATCTTAGGCTTCCCATATTCCAAACACAAACTTTCAAATATGTGACGTCACAGCCCAAAATTACCTCCTTCCCCAGGCCACATTACTGTCATAAAGCTGATTCTTTTTACTCTGTAGGCACCACAACAAAGTTCAGACCAAGTTTTAAGCGATTTTTCAACGAACAAACCCATTTAAATCAGAATGACTAAACAAGGTGACGTCACACTAACGGTCGCTCCATGTTGAAGATAGGGCCTTGTACAAGGCCCATTTTCAAATGAAGGGAACGAATTTCTTCAACACCTAGAGGCCGCGGGGTTTGCAACCTAGATAGATAGTGGTTTCTGAACCTCGCCGCAAACTTGGCTATCTCAACTCAAACTCCATGTTAAAGGTGGGATAGTCCCTTTAACGTGAGGTATTCGCGAAAAACAGAGGGGTTCCGTTCGACCCCCTCCCCCCCCCATACGGGCGAGGGCAGTGGCGCGGCCAGGGTGGGGTCAGAGGACAGCTGACCCCCCAAAAAAATCTGTCAGGGGCCCCCTCTGGTCTGAAACCTTCGGTGAAATAGTATAGAGAGTGAGAGAGTGAGAGTGAGAGTGAGAGTGAGAGTGAGAGTGAGAGACCACATTTACCGATTTTAATGATGAACTTTAGTGGTAATTTATTAGTTGACCAATCGTCGTTTTGAACGAAATTTCCTGTCAGACTAGTTCAGGGCACTGTTGTTCACTGTGCCAACATCATTCTGACATATTGCATCGCTTTTCTGCAAGATAAGCTAGCTGTTTGCAAGCAGCTGCAAGACGTAATTTAACCCGCGCGGGGCTGGGGTCTCCAGCCGAACGCGCGGGGCTGGGGGGGGGGGTAAATTTTATCTCCCCTGTTATCTCCCGAACTAATGGTCCGATTTGGAAAATTCAAACGCCAATCGAAAGCTCTCATCACGAACTACTAAAAACATGTACTTAACTTAAAGTTTGAGGTCAAGGTCAAGGTCAGGTCAAGGGTACAAATTGCAAGTTTCTACAGTATCGGCCTTGCACCGTAGTTGCCGAAGAATGGAGTCATGGACTGAGACTGATCGCCCAAAACGTGTTCTTAGGCTACCAAGACAATATTCGTTGCATACAATATCATTCAGAGGTCAAGGTCAAGGTCAGGTCAGGTCAGGTCACCAAAAAAACAAAATATAGAAAAGGGCATGTGCGACACATGTTTAATGGGTCATTTTACTCATAGAATTCAATAGGCACACTCAATAAGTGATATGGACCACCTCTGGATGAATTTCAGGTCGAGGTCAGGTCAAGATCAGGTCAAGTGAGGTCAAATTTTGAAGTTGGTTGTTAAGGCCTAAAAAGGTGTCTATCTGATGCAGTTTTTCACGGCGAATCGAATGGTGATATTTTGGTTTCCGTACGAGGTCTAGAACTTCCAAAAAAGTCATTTTTCAAAAAATTGTGTGTCGTGACGTCATAAAATTTTGAATAACTCCCACATTTTTGAACCGATTCTTCTAAAATTTGGTGTGTAGGTGCACATAGACCACTTCTCTGACATATATTCCGGTTTTTTCGATAGACTCAAAATTTTGGATTTTATAATGATTTTACCAAAAAAGTCATTTAAAAAAAAAAAAATTAGGCCAAAATCCAAAATTTTCAAAAAACCGAGATAGCCATTTGATAGACAAAGTAAAATTACGTATACCCTTTTTTGTTACGTCTTGATTCCTTTAAAAATGAAGATGTTAGCGGCGTTTGAACTTTTGCCGTTTTTGAGGCGAAAATGGCGAACATGACGTCACTAAAACGTCAATTTCTCAAAAATTTTCCGACGGATTTCGCTCAAATTTTCAGGGAACGTGTCAAATTGATGTAAGAAAAGGTACTGAAAGTTTGGCGGCGCTGCGCGCCGCCGTTTTTGAGATATCGCAAAAATTCGCGAGGGGGGGTAAAATTTACCCCCCCCCCCAGCCCCGCGCGGGTTAAAATCATATCCAATTTTTTAATTAGACTTTTATGAAAACGTTATTTCGAGCGGCTAAAAATGAACATTTTATACTAGCCTCTGATTACTCATCTTTTGTTCCATATAGGTGCTTTGCTGCTTTTCCCTGCTACTTTTCGAGGTATGCGCCAGTAAACCACATGATGTAGGGGCAATTGTCACCTCGCCGCTCTACTGAAGGCCCGGCGCTCTTTAAAACGCTGGAAGTTGTGAAAAACAAACGCTTATAATCTAAATAAAATATATGTCCCTGAGCTCCGAATTGATCAACGCACACAATGCTGTCAACATTTCTGGGCCAAACTCAAAAATTCAGTCATTATTAACCCCTAAACACAAGTCAGTGATAATCAACATCAGCTCGCTCTTTAGTCAGACTTTTTGAGAAATGTTATTTCGAGCCGCTAAAAATGGCCATGCCATACAAACCACCAATCATCTTTCTGTCATGCCCTACTCGCAATTTTTGCTAATGCCTGCTACTCTTCGAGGTCACGTGACCTCACCATTAAAAGTGAATGGGGAAATAAGGAAACTGTTGTTTTTGCGCATGAAGTGATTTCAAACTATCTCAAGCACACGGAATCGTGATTTCGTGCACTCCTTGCAAGATCCGATGCTTTACTTTTGCATTGTTGACCTTCCGTGACGTCATTTATGACGTCACACCGGTCATAGGAGTTTCTCGTCAATAACTCACGATCAAATTGAGCCAGCGACTCGGGAAAGCCACCAATGGACTCGGGAAGACCTCCCGAATCGAATGATATGCGATACGACCTCCTTCGATTAAGTTCGTGGCCTGATGGGCTCTGAACTGACCTTGACTCGAGGTCAATACCTTAAGTTGACCTCACCCGAACAAAAAGCATACCATTCGACGCGCCTGAGCCAGGCAAACACGATGGTGCCAAAATCGCTGCTCTGCGGCCATTTTTTTGCGAAATTATTTGCCAAAAACCAAACCCTACCTTGGGCTTTTTGACTTCACCTCAGAGGTTACCGGTTGACCTGGGACCTTAAAATCGGGTATCAATCGTTCCGCCTTGAAACGGCGCACACGCTTGTTTTTTCCGCGAGGCTCTAGCTCCATTAGGGGCGAAACGGCAAAAAGGGGTCGTACGAACCCTCCCCCCTCGGCCGGCCGAGGGGGTGGGGGGTCCGACAATAGGTCCGGCGAGGGTTAAGCAGCCCCACTTCGTTTTTAGCATGTTTGCTTGTCACTGAGATCAACGACTCAATCACAATTAATTTCTAGCACTTTTCCGGACCCCCGGCCCAGTGTGCACCGGCCCGCGGGACAAGGGATACACATACA